TGCCTGGCGGCGACGCATTCATGTCAAAGGCTGCTTATTAAGGCAAATAGCTTTTCAAAAACGTTATCTTTATGATTGTTTCTCTCTTTATACACGCACCAGTCGTATCCTATCAAGTGACAATTAAAACCGCTGACGAAGAGTATGCTGGCACGGACTCCGATATTTATCTAAAACTCTTCGGAAACCAAGGAAGCACACACGAGAGGATGTTCGAAAAGTGTGGCAATCGATTTGAACGCGGATCCATGGACAAATTCACAGTGGAGTACGAGGACGTGGGAGCTTTGGAAAAACTGAGGCTTAAATATGACTCTGAGGTACGTCTGTCTGATTGACTTGTATGCCCAGTCTTCAGCTGAATTTCATTCTTCTCCCAGCACTAACGCAAAAAACTTTAAAATACATCTTTTTTATTTCTATGAACTCATATTTCCGTCATTTGAAAAGCAATGTGCTGTATATGAATATTTACATACAGTGAGTTAGGTCGTTGTGAGATTATCAAAGTAATTTGGAATTTAGTGAATTATCGGGGGATAAATAGATGGAAAGAGCTGGAATACGATAGATAAGCAAAGAAACGGTTTCGTAATGCAAACCAGCCAAATATGAATGATTCTATGAAAGAACCTCGGTCAGTCACGTAGATTGATTGAGTTACGTATTGCAAAAATAAGGGTGGTTTAGTGTCAGTGGTAGCAAAATGAATCGAGATCAGAGGAATTGATGGTATAAAGTAATTACTGTTGCAATCGCAATGATATCACCAAGGCCTTTTGCGAGAAAAAGATTAGGCTCTTAATGGCTGATGACAAATGCTTCGATGAGTCTAAACATCACTGGGCATCATAGTTTGACGATAGCTTGCCAACAGTCTGCCATGTCCAGCAAACATCAACTATCAAATATGTTTTCTAGGATTTTATCTCACCTCTCATCTTATTACTTCTAACATGGTCACTCATTGCGTTCAAAGAGAGACATTCAGGCATTCCGACATACGGCAAGTCACACATACACTCGAAATCAAACATGCTTAATGGTGAGTAAAGCGTTGGATCTGTCCATCTTTGACCCAGGTAGTAAGTTGGTGGTCAATCCTTGCAAAACCTTTACAAAGTAATGACTAATACCAATCTTACTCATTATGCGATAATCGCTCTGTTAAAATGAAAACAACAAGATTTATCACACAGTTTTCAGGTCGTCAATATGATTGAAAGACTGAGGTTCAGTGAGCCCACGCGAGAGTAAAGATCCTGAATGATCAATATTTATTTAAAAATCAAAGAATAATGATACGCATCCAATCCTTTGATTTGCAAATGTGAAAAGTGAAAAATTGGCACAACTCCGACTTTGTTAGAAACTGCATCGCAGTTGAATAGAACACGAAACTTTTATGACGTGCATCCTTCGGGAAGAGCTTCAACCTAGGCGATTACTGATCCGGATATATATTCTCAACAAGTTTATTTTCATTCAGTAGAAAATAAGCGAACTTCTTTAATTTCACATTTACAGGGTGAGCGACGACAATGGAAAGTGGAAAGCGTGAACATCACACGACCGGGAAAGAGTTATCATTTCAAAATGGACGAGTCCGGGTGGTTTTTGCTCAGTTACGATGGAGTAAAGCGTAAATGGATTGATTTGGTCGCAACTGTAAATGCGGTGGAGCAATTGCGTCGTACGTTTTCACAGCATAATATTCTATTCATATGTGTATTTCTTACTTTTGCAATATCTTAGAAACATTAGGTGCGAGTGCTGTTGGTGAGAATGTGAATAAATTCCAAGCTCTATATTAACAGGACTTTTTGCTACTGAACTCTGAAATTTCAAGATTATTTGGTTCCATTGTTTTCGATACTCTGGGGATATGTATTCTCTTAGCTCGTTGATTTACATGATATTTCTCATCAGTGGCTCCTGTGTAATTTTCACACACTCGTATATTTAAGTGAAAAGGTAGATCTATTATACTTTGTTTCAATGAATAAAATCGCGATCGCTCTGTCGTAATCTGAAAGACTAAAGTTCAATATGCATGATAGAAGAAGAAATTATGAAAAATATCCTGGGGATTATGGCAGCTACAAACAATTAAAGTTCAGTGCTTCATACTTAATTGCTCTCGTTATTCGGTGATTTTCTTCCGTGCAGACTACGATATGATGAGACAGTATGTGACTAGGTGCAATATACTTTACATTATTTGATAAACGAATAGAATGTCCTGCATGAATATTTTTGTTGTCAGTTCCAGGTTTGCAGGCCATTCGTGTGCGAGAGTTTCTGAAAATAAAAGTCACATTCAGTCGTCTGTGTATCTTTTTCCACGTTATACAACAAATAACGAATTGACTTTATTTCGTGGTTTTAATTGAAATAGGTAGCAACAGGTCCTCACTAGTTTGCAAATATGTAACTTTAAAGATGAAGTGGGAGTTGCATGCCCTACTGACCGTCTGACTATTTGGAAATAAAGAGATTTTTTAGTCATTTTCTGTATTTTTTTCTATGGTGCGTTCAATACTGTGCATATTCATGTATAAATCATTGCGTATTGAATACTGAATGCTCTATCTCTTTCCCCCGGTTTTCCTGGCTTTGTTTGATATTAGGTGTCAGTTTGAAAATTCGAGTAAAAACATCAAACGTTTCTGGAGCGGCGACGGATTCGGCCGTATATTTGCGTCTGTTCGGCCAACACGGGGACTCTGGTGATCTCAGTCTGAGGACCAGCACAGAAAAACGAACGTTGTTTCGACAAAACGCCGTACGTTGACCTGTGAATTGCTAACTTTCACGATTATCTTCTTATTCCATTGCTTCTTTACAGTACTCTCAATGTTATATCATTGTTCTCTCCGGGATTAGTAGTAAACAATTCTGTGCAACCGTCATTTTGGTTGATTTGAGGGGCATATTTATTCTGAGCTAGCTAAACTAGTTTTGGAATGTAAATTGTTCAAAGGCTATCAATCATTTCACTATTCAAATGTAAAAGGTTTTATACAATCGGTCAGACTTCCATGAAACGGATTTCCCACCCCACCCACCCCCGCTACCCGCTACCGCTGTCTAGTGAATCACTGAAGTCATCAAATCTTGCCTGTATAAGTAACGGATTGTTTTACGTTGTTGCGATTGAAGAGATTAAAATAAGTTTGTCTTCTCTTGGTTCTAACGTATTCAAACATAATTGGGTCTCAATAATCTGCCAAAACCGCACAATTCTAACTATTGGCGCAGAATTTGAACTCATCTTGCTTATGTCGATAAGTTCTTTAGGAAACCTTTTTCACTGATTGACCAAGTGGGTGGCAGGAGAACAGCAGCCGAAATTGTTTTACTAGAGTGCACCGGTATTATCTAAATTGAAAATGGGGTACACGTGTCAAGTCAAACACCTTACTTACTGGTATTCGTATCTTTATGCCTCTGGAAGACGGGTGAGCGTGTCGATTTCGAATGCGATCAGGAGTAACTCCTTGACCTCTTGGCTCATTCGGTAGAACGTACGGTGTAAAAAGTTGCAGGCAATGCTCATCCCTCGGCTTCGAGGCTAGTGGTCTCTAATTAATTATCCAACAGTCCTTTAAGATTCAGCCAGTTCCGTGTCAACATAGTTGGGTGCGAAGTGAGTGCTGAAACGCTAACCATTTGACTATGATAGAAATGTTGTCGTTCCTGTCTTTTTCTGTGTTTTCTGACATGTTTCTCTACGAGGGGGCTAAGGGGCCAATTTCCCTCTACCCGGGATAGAGCACGATGATACACAATAAGTTTATTGGCATGCGTTTTGTTGTGTATGTGTTCAATTTATCACCATAAGAATAGGCTGCTACGTAATCCATAGGTTCTTATTTATTTTAAACCGCGTGGTGACAAAGTTCGTTTTCAGTTATTCACAATCAAACTATTACACAACATTAAATGACTAACAACAAGACCAAAAGGGAATGAGAAATTCACGTTCGAATAGTTCAGATTTGGCTAAGAAGCGTGTGCATAGTGTTCAAAGTTCAGGTGATTTCGCACGTGTTAGGGGGATTAAAGCGGATCAGAAAAGATTATGTGCTTACACGAATTTCTCATAGGTGCACTAAAGGAGATTGTGAAGCCGAATACTTGCGGCTTCAGCCGTCGCTAAGATACGATGCTTCACTGTTCTTAATTGCCTACGTCGAACCTTGTTAATCCATCGGAACGCGTCCACCTTGTCCACTGAATGATTTGACTGAACGAGATGCGAACACGTAATTGTCTTAATTGTTCCAGTCCTCAGACAAGCCGGGTGGTGTTCACGAACGCAATCGGATGAGCGCCCGATCGTGCGGACAGTGTACCCAGTTCCACAGGAACGGGTGAATGGGTATACGCAGAATTAGGCTTCACAATTTGTCACTGTTCCCCTCAGTGGGAAACAATCGATTTAGATATAAATACAGCTTTCACGTGTGCAGCATCAGATAGGGGCAAATAAGATTACAATGAACAAAACATCTAAGTTGTAGCAATCGGTTAGTATTTTCGAGGTCGTCTCTTCTCTCTTGGTGATCCTGACCCTGACAGTCAATTTGTCTCTGCTACAGTTGCAACAGTAAATCCTTCAATTCATTCGCGGCTATCGTGGGAATCTAACAACCGCCTCTTGTTACGCGTAAACTAGTCACAAACGTGAGTGGTTTTTAGATAAATCAGGTTTCTTTCGGGGAAAGTTGCATCAACGGTTATTTTTCTGACCGTTCACAAGTACTCTGTTTGAAAATTATATGCAAAACCAGAACGGCGTAGTATTCTCAAGCCTAATTTCTTTCCCATATTCTGCCAACACTTGTTGTTAATTTCAGATAGACGAGTTTCTGATCAAGAATATGCCCGAACTGGGTATTTTGACACGCTGCCGTCTATCAGTGGATTATAAAGGCCGATCACCCTCGTGGCATTGTGAATGGATTGAGGTTTATGAGGTTCTACCCGAAGGCACAGCACGTGCGCCAAGGCAATGGCGATTTCACTGTTCCAGATGGTTATCACTCAAGGAGGGTGATCAATTGATCTCTCGAGATCTTGCTTGTACTGAGGAATCTATGAACGATCCGGAAAAAGGTCATGTGACTGACCCGGTGATTATCAATACTGTTATGGCCATGGCGGAAATCGCAAAAGCGGTCAATTTGCCCGATCGTCACTATGGTGATATCGGTATGTTTATTCCGAGACTGATAACTCTGCTGGTGTGGTTTTCGCAGTCACTCCAGGTCATATTAAATCCTTTCACGTAGTAAACAGATTGCCTCTTTAAGCAGTTTATTTGACCCAACAATGATTAGAAGAAAAACAAGAAGTAAACAAGGGAAAATTGGTTAACCTTGATGGATGTATTCCAGTGGAACAAAATGAATTGAAGTAGTATCCCCTAGTCAANCAATAACTCGATCTGGTACTGGTTGCAAAGTTTTTTTGAAACCTATTCTATTTCCATAATTTATTCAATAAGTTTCCGATCAACGATAGGCTTATGAAACACCTTCCGCAGGTGTCTATGCACGATAAAACACGTATTGTCGTTTACAAAATGGCCAGAATTTAGCTATCTGTAACAATGCTTCATTCTTACACCTAAATATTTACTCAAAGCCCTGACTATCATAACTGGATAGCACAATATGGGAAAATGACTTAAAATGACGTAAATCAACCGACCGCGTTCTTTCATGAGTTAGCTGAACCGCATTCCTTTTTTTGCAGCATACGACGTACTGATCAAAACCGGTGATGCTAAGGATGCAGGAACTCCACATCACCTCTGTATTACACTTGAAGGAACTGAGGGTAAATCGAGACGACTACAAACATCACATATGGAAGGAATATCGTTACTTTCCGGAAGCACAAACCGCCTGAAGTGAGTCTAACACGTCTACTTTTGCCCATTTCAATGAAACATGACGAAAACCTGTGTGAAAGAATTGGTTTTACCTCGGACTAATTAGGGAAATGTTCATCGGGAATGGAGACCATTCGATGTATCGTGGCACCTCGCAGCTGATTGTCACCGCCGGGACTCCGATTATGAACATTCTATACCTTTTCAACTTCAAATGTATCCAACCAATTGCATCCCATTGGGAACCCACCTAAATTATTGGTGTTTCGGCCATCAAACCACCGACTGGACCGGGTCGGTCTAAACCCCATCCACTCCGAATGAACTCACTTCTCCGAAAACAAATAAAAGCATCTTTTGGGTGAATTACCGGGCGAGACGAAGATAAGATCGCTAACCACAACGGAAAACACGACACAACAACACAAAGAAGGGGGGACAAGTGAAGATGAATGTTTCGGTGGGGTGGGCTGCTCTTATCCCCCTCCCCTGCCCCACCCTGGAACTTTATGTCTGTAATCGTTGACCCGGTATGCGTCATACACACGAATGAACGAACCCGGCAGTAATTGACCTTTATCGGTCGGGTAAGGAAGCGAGTCGCATCAAGATGGATCGATAAATCGATCACCAAGCCCAGACCTGAGGGTGGGAACGAATCATTGTATAAGTCAGTGTAAGCCCTTAATACGTAGTGCCATTGCTCCATCGTGTACCATCGCCTCGTCCCGCCCACCCGTGACCTGAAACAAGTAATTTCCCTCTGACCGTTTCAGTGATTTGATTGGATCATATTCCGCGATCTGCGGTGCTTAAAATCCGTCACCCCAACACGAGACGGTCTGATTACCAGCTTGTACGTTTTGTAATGCCCTTGTTGTTACCTCCAGTCCCTTCGTGTATTAATGGCACTCTTGCTGCACAACCGAAGTTCACTGTGCCTGCCTGAGACTTGGGGCTGTAAACAAGGTGCAGTTTCTCGCTCGGGTTAGCTGGTCTAGCATCAGGTTCCTTGTTGCGGCTGAACCATTCGAATCAGTGAGTAAATTTCAGTGGGCCGTTCTTCCCTCAAATAAACCATGCACTTTTGTGCCCGGTTTTGGTTGCTGTCTTTCGGCTGCCCATTTGGATGAATAATAGGAGAAGAACAGGAAAGTTGAAGGTAGAGTCGAAGAGAAAATTGAGAACTCCAGTAAGTTATGGCTTTAAAGAAATTGAGAAGATGCAAGAATGCCACTGTTTACGACACCCAGCCATATCATTCAGTGTCTCTAACCATCGGGTACGATTTTCTCGAGGTCCCCATCCAGGGAGCCTAACAGGACCTATGTAACCCAGTCCCCTGGTTAGGGTTTTCATACCCTCGTGCCAGGTCTTAGCTTGGCCACGCTTGACTTTCTTCCACCTGCTACTTGCCTCGGTGAACATCGCTCGCCGTGGAAACCTATTTGGTGACATGCGTAACACATGCCGCAACTTGATTCATTCGA